CCTGGGGCGCCCCCCGCCGCGGCGCAGCTTCCCCGCTGCTAGGGCTCCCGCGGCGCTGCGGCTCATGCCCCCGGGCACGGAGCGCGCAGGTGGGCCGGCCGCCGCTGGGAGATAGGCCCCCGGGGACGACGGCGGCGGGACCATGGCGCGGAGACCCGGGGCGCCGGCCGCCTACGGGGAGGAGTTCTCCTTCGTCAACCCGCTAGTGAAATACCTGCTCTTCTTCTTCAACATGCTCTTCTGGGTGAGCCGTGGGGCCGTGGGGGCACCTGGGCTGCGGGATACCCCCGAGGGTGGAGTGGGCTGCCCGCGGCTGAGGAGGGGGCGTCCCGGGATGGCCGGTGCAAGGCGAGCGTGATGAGCAGCACTGCCTAGTTTTCTGGGGTGACGACCCTTTAGGGAAATTTATCCTGGGAAGGAACACCATAGTGGCGCCGTGTCTGGAGGGGGCGTTTGGGGACGGAGGTGATGCGAGGGTTCAGTAAAGACTTATGGGTATTCGCTGGGCATCAGATGAGGGTCTGCGTCAGGCCAAAACGATGGGTTTAGGGGAGAAGCGGGTTTTCCTGTTGGCCCAAGGCAGACCCACGGGCGCATTCATGACTGGGGGACTTTCGGGCCTGGGGGCTGGGACATTCAGACTCACGGGCACATTCATAACTGGGAGAAAAAAGAGGAAGGGAGGAAAAACCAAAACCTCTCCTCTCCCTAACCTCAGAGACGATGGGTTAAGGAGCTTCATCTCTTCCTTTTGCAGGCCTCCGCCCCACAAAGCCTGAGAAGAGACAGGAATGGCCTCCGGGTGTGGAGGTCCTTCTATCTCAGCTCTGCCCCAAACTTTGCCCCACCTGTCCCAGGGCCAGACTCCACCCTGGAGCCTGACAGCTTTTAGAGTCTTTAAATAGGACCTTGTGTTGGGCTGGAAGGCCAGGGGTCTTTTCAGAATCTTTTGCTTGGAGTGGAAAAGTGGGGAAAAGTATTGGTCTAGGGCTAGGGACACCTACATTCTCATACACGCTCTGCCATTAATGGCTGACTTGACTGACCTGGTCAAATATATTCATGTCTGCAGGCCTTAGATTCTTCCGCCATAAAAATCAAACCCAGTATGATCAGGGAGCGTAGAAATACTCTGCTGGAGCTGAGAATTCAGCCGGACAAGATCATGAAATGCTAGCTCGATCTTGTTTCTAGAGAGTCCCTCAGCTCCTCGGTGTTGAGAACACAGGCAGGTTTTCCCCCTTCTCCCCCATTTCTCTTCTGGTTCCTACCACAGCAGGACTGCTGCTCTGGGAGCACAGTGTCTTTGCCCACCTCAGCCTGAGACCTAAAGTTCAGACTTGCAGGAGGGTGGAGTTGTGAGTCTAAAATATGTTTCTAGGAGAGGGAGCAGACAGACATCTAAGCCTCTTGCTGGAAAGGTTTCACAGGGTCTGTGGTGTGAAGTGCAGACACAAAGTACAGAAGTGCTAGCCGGTTGTGACAAATGAGAGAAATCCCAGAAGGTGGTGATGACAGCTCACTCTCAGCCATCTTACTTCCGACAGAAATGAAGTTTGGGCTCCTATCAAACTCTCAGCTTTAGAACAACAACAACAACAAAATTTAGAAGACATCTTGTTCAGCGTCTGCGTTTTATATTTAAAATATAGAAAGCTAAAGCACAGAGATGTTAAATGTTTTATCCAAGGTCTAACAGCTGGTTAGCAGGTCTGGTGATTTTTGTACTGAACCACCTACCTCTAGGGAAAGTCCTTGGACCAGATGGCAACTGCTTTAGCGTGGGTATTCGCAGTATGAGTGGTTAACCAGTCAACCCGAGTTCTCATGGTCTAGGTTTTGCTTCAGCTGGAGGTTAGGGAGAAACAGAAGAAAATCCCTCACCACCATTCTGCCAGGGCTGGGGGATGTGCTAAGGGGAACTCCCCACCCAGGGGTGAGTACCAGTAAGGCATCCTACATGCTTACTGATTGTGCCAGGCCAGTGACATGCCCTCCTCAGAGGCAGCACTAGCATCCTAGGGCCCTCAGGTCCTCATTCTGGCTTCCTCTGTCAGCCAAGACTCTTGTCTCCTTTAGAGCCATTGGCAACTCACCCTTGTCTGTGTTCCCAGCAACAACAGCTGGGTGCATCTGTTACACTTGTGTTTGTGATTATTTTCTTAGACTTCCCCATCCCAACCCAACCCCCTTTTATCAGACAAATGAGTTTGGGAGGTCACAGCCAAAGAGAGAGTTTGTTTCCACAGACCCATTTACCTTGGTAAAAATGCTTCATTCAAGGTCATAGGACCTGGCTAGCCAATCTGGCACCACCCCAAATTAGAGTAGAGCCCCTTCTTGGCCCTACTTTAGAAACATAAAAAGTGAGAGGCTCTAGAAATAGCACACTGAAGGACAAGAGGCCCAGCTTCTTTCTGGCACCAACTTACTGTGTGACACTAAGCCAATGTATCTGTCTTTCTGTCCTTAATCTTTCTCCTCTAAAGGAGAACATTGTTCTGCCTCTGTGAACTATTTAAAGATGAATGAATCACTTTAGGGACTGTTTTCTTGCTTCAAGACCTGGGGCTAGATCTAAGGTTGAATCTCTCTGTGTCATGGTATCCCTGGGACATTGCCCTTCCTAGGGGACAGTACTTTTCAGGCGTTACTGACTTCTCCCCCAGAGCCACAGAGTTACATTCCACACAAGTGCAGCTAGAGATGAAGGGCTGCCTCCCCAGATCAGTGGGTCATCTCCCTTCAGGAACTGGTGCTATGTTTTCTTTTGTGCAAACTTCTACCATCCTAATCAAATTCTCCTCTTCTGCCCAGGAGGCACCCATGGATGGAGTGTTGGCCCACACCCTTTGCAGGCGGAGTGCATGTTCTGGCCAGCTGCTGGGGCTGCTGTGTTGAGATGGGGTTTGTGTCTGTGCCTGAGCATGTTAGGAAGGTGGCCAGCATTGTCTGGGCTCATACTCAGTGATAGTGACAGTGGCTGCCTCTGCTACTGTTCTAGGATCCCTGACTCTTGGGGCATTTGGAATCTGACTCAGAAAGCTGCTGGCTCCCTTGGCACCAGGACAGATTCCTCCTGTTCATGTTTCAACTCTCACTTCCCCTTTAGCCTGGGAGTTCTGATTTTCCCCCCAGAATCATGTTGCTGGGTGACTGGTTGTTGGGATCCCCTGGCCTGAGGTAGTTGCTCCAGGACCCTAGAAGTTGCATTTAAATCTTTTAGTTAAGAAGTAGCTGCCTTTCCTCACCTCCCTGAGTTGGACAACTCTGCAGAGTTAAGACATTGGGTGGTACATGCTTTATCAGGCTTGGGCACATGTTGTCAGAAATATTATCAGTGCTGCCCTCCTCCTTCCCTGATGTCCTTTTTCCCACTTGGGGCAGCAGTTGGTGTGGCTTTTGAGTCAAGCAGAACCAAGCTCAGACCTCCAGCGCCTGTGTCCCAGCCCAGGCTTCCTTGGCAGCCATGCCTCAGGGCTCCCATGGCACTTTGTGCATACTTTGGTTTTCACACTGCTTACCTATGCTGCAATTATGTTTATTTACCTGTCTCCCTCTATAGACTTCAGGTTCCTGAGGGTAGAGACTGTCTGTTCACCCCTGCATTCCCAGTGCCTGGCTGTGTTTGGCAGAAAGTGGGTATTTACTGAATGTTTGTTGAATGGATCCTGTGGCCTGGCACTCTTCCCTCAAGCCAGATCAGAAAAAATGGCAGCCATCCCCTCCAGCATCTCCCTCAGAGCCACACATAATTACTATCTACAGTGCTTGGATTTTTTCACTTCCACTGCAGCATATATGGACCCCCATCCAGGTCTTCCCTTGGCCAATCTAGGCCACTGGCTAGGCATGTTCTTCAGGAAGTCCACTCTCCTGTCTAAAACCACTGTAATGGAGTCCCCAGGGCACTCAAAATCACCCCAGACTACCTGCAGCACCATCTCTTGTAACCTGGCTCAGAAGCCATGAGGAGGTGAGCAGGCATCAAGCCTGGCGAAAACCCCTCCTGAGTGGCCCGGGCCCTTCCTGCCACCCAACCCTCATCCCCCACTTCCCCACCCCCACACTTCCAAATACACCAGGAGGCAGAGTCTACCTCCTCCTCCTTCTCCCCTCCCTTCTCTATAGACTAGGCTGGATTCAATGAGTGAAGTAGTCAGATTCTTTTTATAAAAGCAACAAAAAATCCGAAACACTGAAAATGGAGACAAGAACCATACAGTTTGCTGCACAGGTCACATGCATGCCTTCCTAACTCCCCTAGCCGCTTTGTTTGCCTTGTATCAAGTAGGAAACCATAAACTTCAAGCAACCTTTAAAAAGAATAAAAGAAAACAGATTGCCTGTCAGAGTCTTGGTAGCAGGCTATGGGTCCAACTGGCCACTCCAAAGCCGTGAGTTTGAATGTTTATACTGCTGTTTGCCCTTGTGGTCTTCCCTTCCTCCTTCATAACATTGGAAGGCCAAAACCAGCCATGGCCTGAGGAAGATGCTAAAAGATTGGCCCCAGACATGGGCAAGGAAAGAGCCCTGTGGACTCTTCCACTCCCGCAGGACAATACCATCCAATCCAGAGGGAGAAGTCCAAGAGCCAGTTTCATACAGATGGTTGCCACCTCAGAAACCCAGGAACAGCGGTGCTGGGGTGGCCACAGAAGGACCAACATGTGGAGATCCTGGGCAGTGAGAGAGAGGGCCCTGCTTTAGATCTAGCAGGCTGTGACTTCTTTGACTTCATCCAAAAATAAGTCTAGAAAGGACTGAGAAGACCAGAGTAGTAGTTCCTCCCGCCCTCCTTCCCTCTGTGCAGGAACAGGGTTTTGATTCCCACACAGGGAATCACTCTACCGTCAGCTGTATCCCACCATCACCTTCAGAAGAAGGGGAAGAGATTCTAAGGAGGAGGAGTGGATTCTGAGACAGTTTTACCCTCTTCTTACAGATTGGACTTTAGAATGTGGAGACAGACAAGGCTTCTTCTCAGAGGCTGCTCGGGCTGGTGGGCCCTGCATGGCGATGCTGTGCCTTCCCCTTTCAGGGCGCTGTTCCAGGGACTTCCCTCTGAGCCACCTCCTGGGCCCTGCTAGCACCCTGTCACCTCAGAGTGCTATCTTCCTTCCTCTGCCTGAGCCCCACCCATTTTGGAGATTACCAGCTGCTTCCCTAGAGAACTGCAGGCAGCCACTTCTCCCACCTCACATGATGGCCGGAGGAGAATGCACAGGATCCTGGGGTTGCTGT